TTTCAACAACCTATCTTGAACCTTGATTGGAGATCTAACAAAACAACAACTTAAGTTTAGATAAAACAGTAGAATGCAAATACGTTAATCTGCCATTGACATTGGGGAGGAAATGTAATTAAATGGCAATAAAACAGGAATGGAACTGAAAGCATATTCTGAGGGACTTGAGGTACTGAGCAGTATATGTGCAGTGAGCTTGCACTAAAACCCACTGTGCAATATTAGCCTGCACTGAAATGACTGAAACGAAAGGCCTTAAACTATAAGGTAACACCTGGCTTGAAAATGTAAGACAAGGTAGATAACTTTGAAATAGGACAGCAATAATACCACCAGCTGATTCCATATTGGTTGCCAATATGTTATTTTCTGCTGGTATGTCATTACTAACCCACTTTTAGAGTTATTATTATGTATTTTTTTTTCTGCAATTCATAATGATGTTGTTTTTTAAAGTGCTACATAAACTCATTTTATTATTATAATTCCTCGCCAGTGAACGTGGGCCATAATGTCAGCGACTTGCCCTGCTTCTTGCATCTCCTACTGTGTTTCTGCTCTGAATGTTTGAAGGAATAAAGAGGTTGTTGACCAGGAAACAACCGGCGGTCTCACTGTGATTGTGCTCGCAAAAAATACAATTGTGCATACTAATAGTTATCACTGGTATTACTATTATATTATTATCCATAATTGTAGCACTACTAACCACTTTAGGCCATGGACATAATTATGTTACGTATGAAATATTATTACACATTTATTAGCAGTTGTACTTATATTAGGACCACCATCAACAATTCCCCAGTTAATGACATCTTCTTCTTCTATATAATCTTACAAACAGTCTTCAGGGGGGAAATTAAATAACATGACCACTCGTGAAAAACAACTTGAACTTTGAAGTTGCTAAAGCATGCTAATGCTTCTACAAAAGTGGGTCATATGATGTCTCATACTAATTAGGTATTTGTCACCCCCCCCCCACCCTATATGGCTAGTCTCAACTACTGCTCTTTCTCACGGCAGTTTGTTCTGGATTTTTCACATTGTACTCCTTGAGGCATTGAATTATTTAGCAGCTTTTGGAATGATGCGCCTTCTAACAGCTTCAGGTTTTGTGTTAGTTGTCACATCACTCTTTAGATGCAATGACAAATACTACTCGCTGGCAAGCAACCTAATTATGATTGACCTTTGAATCAGTCATTGTAATTAGGTTATTACAAGCTTAAAGGGCATTTTAGGATCTATCTTTCATAGTTTTGGCCGTCATTTATATTTCTAATAATAACACTGTGCACACCCACGTGCAATGACGGACTGACACAGGTGCAATCACTTTCAGTTTTACATCCAAATAAACCTAACCAATATTCTGACGACATACGTTCCCAAAACACAGATATTTGGCCAGTAATACATCAGTATTTGGCCGAGTAATTTGTTATCATAACCAATAGAAATTGTGGCCAAACCTACAAGCCCAAACTGTGATAAACCTGAGAAATCCTTCAAAATGTTCTTGAATGTTTTCATTATTTTCTCCATCCACTCTATATTAAAGTATTGTGAGCTGAATTAAATGTGTTGTCCAAATTGATATAATCAATTGTTGATGTTGTGCGGGGGCAGTAAATCATGTCTCGGATCTGTCTCGGCGAGAGGTTATCATCTTCTCAATATAAAAACTTAATAAAGCCTGTTGAGTCTTTGGAAAAAGGAACATAACACACCCTTAACACCTCTCTGAACCACGGCCAAGTGCATCTCTTCTCACTCGTTTCACCGGGGATGTAAGGGGGTCACTCCCCCATGCACCATGAGTCTTTGTCAATGAGCATAGACTGTATATAAGAAGTGGACGCAGTCACCGTGATGTCACCCATTGGTTTGTGGACTACAATTTTGAAGCCTTGAGTTCAGCATTTTGGCCTTTGTCATCTTGTTTTTTTTGGCAACCAGAAGTGACACAAGAGGGCGGAGCCAAGTACAAACAAACTAGACATTTTTAGGCGACCAAAATGTAACAATTTAACGTTCTTGAACTGAAAACACACTGTGAAAGGGTTAAGATTGTAAGACGAAAACACGGGCAATGCCGTGGTTGCGACCTGTCAATCACAAGGAAGCCACGCCCTACGGCATCACCATGCTTTATCGTCTATTTTACTGAAAAAGGGACCATAATAAATGAACATCATGCTGTATTGAAGAAGACTTGAAACTAGAGATTGAGACCATAAACTCATGTTTAAAATGTTTACTGAGGTAATAAATCAAGTGAGAAGTAGTAGGCAAGTTTTCTCATAGACTTCCATACAATCTGACTTATTTTTGCCCCCTGCTGGCCATTAGAAATAATGCAAGTATAAGACACTTGTGCATCTGCTTTACTTTTCAGAACCGGAGGTTGCTGCATAGAAATGGAGAGAGGAATGAGGGGTGGGAGATGGGAATGGGGAGGGAGGTACTCTATTGTACCCCAGAGTAGCAGGTGAATGCACTCTGAAGACTCCTGGCTTCCTGTAACGCTGCTTAGTGTGTGACGGAAAACACATGCAGCAACATTTGGGAAGAGAAGCTCTTTGATCAGTTAAATGTTGTGTGACGAGAACACCGGCTGGCAGCTTCACCTGTGCGTGTGTTAAGTGTTTACAGCTCCGCTTCGAGATGTTGCTAATCTAGCTTGTAGCAGTCAGTTGACTCAAGCTTTTTGGTGTGCATTCTGGCAGCCCTAATGAATACTGGAGACAAGGAAATGAAACTGTGATCATGTTTGTGCCCCGAGAAAAGAGATTGTAGTAAATCACTGATATTGATATCTGCTTAGGATCATTGGATGTATATCAGTGGTTCCCAACAAGAAGGTCGCAAACCCAGCGAGGGGTCACAAGATCAACGTGAGCGGTCGTGAGATGTTTATATTTAGACTTTTTTTCTTACCTTTACTTTTTTATTCGGAAACACAGCATAGTTTTACCTCTTTGGGTCTCTTAAAAACTATTCAAATAAATAAACCTGAGAAGGTGACATCACTCGACTCAGAACCCATGCAACATGTGACATGAGGTCACGAGTAAATGCTTCGATTTAAAGCAGAAGTTTAACAGTTTGGGAAATGTGTTGAGTATGATGAGAAGTTAGAAACCACTTGTCTGTCCTTTAAATAGGAAGCTGTCAACTTGTGGATGTTGCCAAGACTGTTGCCAAGACTCCAGGAAGTCAGTGCACCAGAACAAGAAATAATCCTGCATAAAAGCTACTGCTTAACCGCTTTGTACACTTTGGTGTTCATGCAGAATAAACAAACACAATATACAGGGTTGATTTTGATACCTTTGGTTGATCCCAGGTAGCTTCCCCCTACTTTCAGAGTGTATGCTAAGCTAAGCTAACCGGCTGTATTTAGCGTACAAATACGAGAGCGGTATCAATCTCCTCATCCAACACTAACAAGGGAGCAAATAAGCACATTTCTGGAAATGTTGAGCTATTCCTTTGAAGGGTCAAAAGCCAAAAGTGTTGGGAACCATTGCTTTAAGTGAAGGGTCAACCACAAACACAGCAGCTAAATAATATGAGCGCTACCACTTGACGACTGATCCATTCTGGTTTGATAGGTTCTAGTGTTAAATGTGAACTGCGGGACTCTCCATTGGTCAAGTGGGCGGTTGCATATTTCCCCCACAGGATGCAGAGATTAAACAAGCATCAGTTCTCCACTATTCACCTCAACACACATGAACACAGCACCATCGCTACCAAGCTCATGTGCGCGCCGCCATATATCCATTGATCTTTGTCGCGCTTCCCCTCTCAAACCCTAATGGAAAACATCTGCCATACGACATGCCGTACAGGCACACTGGTCAATACGAAATAAGCAGCCTGCTAGTAACCAAGTGAATAAGCCGTTTCACTGCCAGACACAATCTGCTCTGTCTAATCACAAGCATCTATCTGGCTTTCCCCCCCAACCCCTCAATGTCCATCACTATGAACTGGATATTGGGGCTGGGCAGCCCTTCTATCTTGGGAGTGATCTGTGATCTCCAACGCTACAGCCACCTTTAGAGGAAACAACGGAGTTAACTTTGAAACGAGGCCATCATAAACTGCCATGCAAACCCACTGTGACAAAAAGGCAATGTGCAGGGACCGATGCAGTATAAGCACGAGCAACCCCCCCCCCCCCCCCAACCTCTGCCAGGTCACAGAGCAGAAATGCACACACATAATTAACACGAGCAAACATTATGATGCTCTCTGCTGAAACATAGTCATCCTGGCAATGTGTTGAATAAGATGAATTACTCTGCTGCGGGGGGGAGACAGAAACAGCCCGGAGCTGATCAACATGGAGCGGATCGAGGTATAATCAGGCAGGCCGGAGCAGGAGCACACTAGGGCAGCAAATGGTGCTGTTCATCCAGCTCAACACGCCTGGTGATGCTGGCTGAAGAGGTGTGGGGGGGGCAGATATTTTTCTCATCGGATCGCCCCGTAAAGGCGACACAAAGGCGGTGCGGCCGGCCACGATGCGCCGCTGTCACCTGTGACGATTGCGCGAATGTCGCTCCCATTCGGGTCAGCCCGAAAGCGATCAGCCGACCCCCACACACACTCACATGGACGGATGGATGGACGGATGAATGGCGAGTCTTGATCAAATTGTGTGTGTGTGTGTGTGGGGGGGGGTTCCATTTTCAATCCACGACCAATGCGAGCGCATGCACAGCCCTTTAGCACATCATAATAACAATACAAAATAAAAACAAATAACACGATCCACACCACGCCTCGGAATAAACGGACACATAATAGCACAAATAAAAACATCTGGCACACACTTCGACCAAAATACAACAACAGCCAGACATATTCCCAGCAGGCTGTCACATTCTAGCAATTTTTTTTTTCCCAAGCATTTTGAACAGACGGGAGGTGTGAGACGAGCCTGATGAGGAAACCGGAATGACATTGCACCTGCTTACTGTAAAATAGATTCCCTCGGGGGCTCCTTTATTTCTCCCCTCTGGACTCCCCTCCTTTCCGGCCGTGCGAATTTCCCGAAATTCAGACCATGCAAAACAGGTCAGTCAGTCATTCCGCCCCTCCGTAGTATATATATTCTTTTCGGGGGGGAGGGGAGGGGGAGGGGGGGTTCCAGCGCGGTGTGCGAGAGGATAAGGCAGAGCCAGCATCCGAGAGGAGAGAGAGCCAGCTGTGTGTGGAGAGGAAATGAGGAAGGAAGGAGCGGCTGAGCCGGAGCGCTGCGCACAGGAGAGGAGAGGCGAGGCGGCAGGAAGAGCCGCGGAGGTGCTCTCTCTCTCTCTCTCTCTCTCTCTCTCTCTCTCTCTCTCTCTCTCTATCTCCCCCTCCCTATCTCTCTCTCGTTCACAATACAACTCCCCCCATCCCCTGCCAGACAGACTAACAGACGATTTGGGTACCAGTGTCAGCAGCGACACCCACCGGAGACAAGAGGAACTACTGTATGGGGGGTGATTAATGCCACAGGGAGGCGGCAGCTGGAAAATGGAAAGCACCGATAGGTTACATGCTGCTGCAGGTACAACAGGACACAAATAAAAATCCCAATTAGTTATACATTTTTTTTAGACAGAAATAATGTCAAAGTATCAATGGTTTTGTTATTACTGGAAGAAATATTTGTTTTTTTAAAAGGTATATTAACAATTCACCTTTAGCCTTCAGGCCTCTGTAAGCGTTTCATTGACAGCTGACGCACGAGGGGTGTTACACCAAATTCTGTGACCCAAATATGAATTTTAGCTATGTGTTACCACGCTGAATGTTTTCCATCAGGTGCCCCCAAAGTGTTCAGATATGGGACGGTAGCAAAAAAACAAATCTGACCAGCCGCCATAACCAAACAACAAAGGGATCTGTATATGTGGATAAACAATGATCTGCAATTGGTATCTGTTTCTAAATATATCTGATCATATTTTATAATATTTGTCTGTTTTTTGTCGATGAGAGGGTATTAGCTTGGAAGCTAATGTGGGTTGTCGTTCAAAGTCTGTGGCTCTCTTTGCATCGTATGGCAGGCCTCTTGCTGGCTGTTTAGTCAGTGTCATCGACAACCTATAACACACAGAGCAGTGGTGTTACTGCTTTGTGCAAATACAGTTTTAAATGAAATATATGTGTGTTTATGACCTACGTAAGCAAACGACACCATCAGGGAGAAGATTGGCTATTTCTATTATGGATGCCTTTCATCATGTCTGATTCCACCCGAAATCCGCCAAAACCATTTACGCCAGGTTCACCGTATTCCTTATTGCTGGGCTTGCTGAAGGGAAGAGAGAGAACCAGAACCAGGACTGGGCGGGGCAGACTCTCAGACCCACACACGGTTAAACCAGAGGTTTTCTAAAGGGGACTCTGGTGCTCGGAGACACGACCGTTTTTTTTCCACAGGGACCATCAGAATCGACACAACATGAAAGTGCACAAAAACATTGAACCTTTACTGACACTCTCTTCTTTGAGACACTCTTTGAGACACTCTCTAAAATAACATAGACAAAAGGTATGCTGACATGCTAATGCACTTTATGCCATGTCAACCTCAATATTGAAGGGTTGGCTCATCTAAATTACAATAAACAACAGAAAGCCCACAGCTTGAAACGTGTGACGGGGCTATTTCTTATTTTTTCTTCTTTTTAAAGAGCCCCTTTTAAACCTGCTCCAAATCAAAGGTAAGTGTGCTAACACAAGCTAGGTGAATGTGTCTGGATAACATTTGGTTGGGTCTGTCAGTGAATTGTTTCCATTGGTGTCAGTTTCAGCAAGCAAGTGCATTGTTTTCAAAGTTAACCGTACACCATGACCTCTGGTTCTTCTGCCTCCTTAACATCTTCCACTCCATTCTGTGTCCCATCAACTCTGAACCCCCCCCCCACCCTTGATTAGGCTAGAATAGAATATATTATATATGCACAGACACATGCCAAATCAGGACAAAGCCTTTACAAGAGGGAGCTAGAACACAAATGGAAAAAAAAAGTTTGTAACCCAGTTGAACTGAGCTCTGCGTTTCCTCTGACTCTCTTCTATCTCTGGCTTTATCTATATTTGTCTCTCTTTCTTTTGCTTCCTCTTTGTCTAACACGTCTTTGTTCAGTCAGCTGCTAAGCCATTTTCCAAATGCCACATTCAGTGGCACCAACGGCAGACTAAATCTTGCACACATTGTTTTTCACATGCACCGTTTTGCTTTGTTGCGCCAGAAAGGACTCGGGATGCTCGGATGCATCGACATTGCGGCCGAAATGTTGTACTTTTATCAGCAGAGGAATCAGCCATTTGTTGAGACAAAAATTTGAAATATGACTTTAAATATGAGCATATGGTTGCACTTATGGAGTACCAATGCACAGTGTTTATTTGTGTAAATCTGGGAGTGCTCATTTATTTCATGTATCATCCCTAGTTTGCTCTCCTCACACTATTGCTCGCAGTATACTCCATTTGAGCTATTCTTATGTGAAGCCTATCCTCTGCTGCTCTAATGACCTGACACCTCCACAGGGATCATTAAAGTTTCATCCGACCTAATCTAAAAAAACTTGAAGTCCCCTTAAGCAAGGCACTTGTCTGCTCCAGTGGAGCTGCTCAGTGTCCATCAGTTGGGAAATGTGGAGCTACTGAGATGGTGCTCGCAGGCAGGTGTCAGCATCTGTGTGTGTGTGTGTGTGTGTGTGTGTGTGTGTGTGTGTGTGTGTGTGAAGCACAATGCTGCAGGGAGGAACACAGACTCATTTAAACCTATGTTAACACGGAGTGATACATTATCCCGCGAGTCTTGGATCGAAGGCGGCGAATGCATGTTGCACGAGACGAGTGTGATGATTGTGCAGCAGTGGTGAGTTGTGTGTCTGAGGCTTTTTGGAACTGGCAAACGAAAAAAAAACGAACACAGCACCCACCTGCCGCACTGGTGCACGGTGATGTCATGCATGAGAGAGATGGAGAGAGAGAGAGATTCTGTGAAGTCAGTCAGAGATAGTGAGTCACTTTGCCCTTCATTTGACTGTCTATCAAATATATATATATATTTATATATATATCCATAGAGGGTGAACCTACAGACACAATCTGTATAGATTTAAAGCTTTATATATTCCCATACGTGATCTGAAAGGTTGGTTAGACCCCATTTAAACCTGCTATTAAAAGGGTTACTCCTGTTTTTGTGTCTAACTGACTTATAGGGAAGACAATTTCTGACAATGGTCCAGTATTGAGCCAGAGCGCTGCAGACGGCAGCTGCTCACGGCCTGCAATGTAATCATATTAGGGACAATTTCACACCATTCACATCCGCTAAAAGTTCTTGTTTCTGCCACTGACAGGCTCTGCTTGTCATCACAGGTGTCCGACATTATGGAATGAGTCTCGCTCAAGGAGAAGTCTCGTTGTGAAACCTCGCGAGGTGACGTGTTGCCGGAAGACAATGGTGGAGTGGCGGGCGTGTAAGGTTTGATGAGAAAGCGTAGCTTAGTGTTGTCCAAACGTTTTCAATATCACGGCTGAATATTTGTCTTATTTCCAGATTGTGGATGAGGTATTTAAATGATTTGTTTGAGTCAGAGTATACCATGAAAATAGTTCCTACAATTTGAAGTGCGGGCGACTGTGGCTCAGTGGTAGAGAAGGGTCGTCCTTCAATCAAAAGATTGGAGGTTCAATTCCCGGCTCGATGTGTCCTTGGGCAAGACACTTAACCCCAAATTGCTTCCGCAAGCTGTGCCTGCATGGGAATATGATGATTAGATAGTCCTGATGGGCTGGTGGCACCTTGCATGGTAGCCCCTGCCATCAGTGAATGATGACATGTAGTGTTAAAGCACTTTCAGTGCTATACAACTGCAGTCCATTTACGAGGAGAGAGAAGGAGAAATGGTGAGTGCCATGACCCCCTTTGAGGCCCACAGAGGAAGAATGCTGAAAAAATGTCGGTTTCTGTTGTCAGACACTTGTCAGTGTGCAAAAACCAGCAAAATAAACATCTGGATTGCAGCTGGTTTTGCGGCTGCCAGTTACAACTTTCTCCCTCAATACTGGATACATTTTTAGGAATAGTTGTCGCCATTAGTTGCTTTGACACAGAAACATGGAAAAACAGGTTTTGAAAAATACCAAAGTTACCCTTTAAAATTGGATCTGGATAGGGTATCTGGGTAATGACGTGATTATAGGCTTTTGCATTTACCTGGTATTAATAAGTATGCTCGTTATTTTGCTTTTGGCCACATTGTGATTGGAGGAGACAGGGTCGGACTGAGATCTGAGTACTTGAGCCAGACCACCTCCAGATGTGGTCAACCCGATTCAATAGCATTCTAAGTATGATTCATTTTGCATCCATTTAGACATAGCTGGGAAAATTAACATTTTGTGTGTTTGTCAGTCAACCTTATTGGAATTTAAAAGAACATGTCAGACAATTTTTTTGCGAGCAACAGCAGCTTTCAGTCACGTGTTTCGAATGTTGCCGATGTGATTTTGAATACTCTGTTACACAACTTAAATAAAACAAATAAAAATGTACAGCGACTGTATTGTACTTTGTACCAACAAACTAACGTGTGCTATAAAAAGTGCCGTTCTTGGTCCTAATTTAAAATTGAAGTTGAATCAGATTATTGCAGAGATTATTTTGCTGAGAGCTCCTTCTAACCACATCTTCTGTGGTGAATAGACCATGGCACAGCCTTCGCTGAGGTCGGAATCACATCCTTTCTGTAGACGCAGCGTGAAAAGACTTCCTCCCTCTGAAGGTTAACGTTTTAGGCACTGTAGGAAGACACTGCAGGTTTTATTGATCCACTCGGAGAAGCCATAATGAGATATACAGAACTGTAAGCACAGGAACTAGAGCAGCAAATTCACATTCAGACAAACATCTTGTGACTTTTGCTTTCTTGAGCACCAGGCGTTTCATCCATTCTTTGGGCATCATCAACCCGAAAAACATGAAGTTTGTTTTTACTCAAGTAAAAAGTACTAAGACAACCATGTGAAACACAATGGCAGTAAAAGTACTGCCATCGAAATCCCACTTAAAACGTGATTGGATTTTAATACCGATGTATAGTCATCTCCGCCAGGAGAATGATGCAATCGCTCGCATGTCTCCGTGAGTGAGTGAATGCCTCTGTATCTGTCCACAGCTAATCTCGCTTTCTGCCGCAGAAAACTGCATAATATTCTGGTTGCCAAGTCATGGTCGCATGCCCAAGCACCTCTCATGGTTGCAGTGACTAACACTTTGTCAAACACACCATTTTTTTTGGCCCGTTTGCCTGGCCCCACTAGTGATAACACAGCTCAGTGCACCGCGACAACCGGCCGCTGCCCTGCGCCCTGAGACACAGTGTGGGGAAAAAGTTTGTTCACAAGTGTTTTAGACGGTGTGTTTGGCACACCTCCTGCTTTTTCCTGGTATTTGTGTTTTCCCTCACCCCTGTGTTACCAGTACCTTCCCGTTTGTCTCTCCTTGTGTGTGTGTGTGTGTGTGTGTGTGTGTGTGTGTGTGTGTGTGTGT